AGAGCCTGCAAGAGATCGCGGCGCTCGATTTCTTGCGGGCTTTTCCGTGCCAATGTGGTCTACCACTGGATAATGCGAACGACGCGCCGCTGGTCTTCGATGAGACTCTATGACGAAAGACGATTTCCTCCATGTGTGCCGGGAGCTCGCTACCTTGACAATATTCGGCTTTCACATACGCGGCGCCAGTCTGCAAGCACCTTCGAGCACTCTGGTGGCAAAGGAGGCAAGCTACGTGGCGGCATGAATGGGTATAATAAGCTGCTGCGTACCGGTGCATTGTAGTCGTGCCGGAGTATTCCCATCTGAGTCGAACTCAGATGTAATCAGCTACTGTAGGCTATTACGCCGTAACCTAGACCATGTATACTCGCCGACTACTTGTATTGCAGTAGAGCCTGGAGCACCGTTTCTGTCGCCTGGCATGGGCTACAAACTCACTGTTAGCTCACACTGTACAGAGTGATCTCATAACTAGAGTAGTGAGGTTGTTATGGCTCGTAGATGGATGTCCAAAGCACCGCCACGACTTTGAGAGGCTCCCATACACCCTTCGGTCATTTGCGCACACTGCTGGATTCGACGTGGCTACAGGGACTCCTCGTCATTAACGCGGAAGTCAGGCAGTATGCATCACACAATGGTCATACGGAGTCTCAGCAACGACTACCCAAAGCCTCTTGGCACGTCAGATGCAATGCAGCACAGCTCGGCCATCTGAGCCGAGTCAGGTTCAAAAATGCTGGGATCGAAATCTGGCACACAAGGTGTCCCTTTCTGTCCTGATGATGCCGTGACCGATGCTTGCTTGCTGTAAGTACCACAAGTCTAGGTCGCCTCGAACGCTGTTTTCCGGTGAGTGTCTGAGTAGGATGTAAGATCTCTAGCTCCATCCTAGATTCGCGATGAGTAGCTTCAATTTCAGATGATAGATATCGATATACAGCCCCACGCGCACGTGCTACCAAAGCTGCTATCTTTGCAATCCTGGACGCCACCCTACCGTCTCATTTCGAAAGTCTGATTTGGCAAAACCTCCCGATCGCACCCGTCGTCTCACTCCTCGTTTCTCCACCGACCACCGACATGAAGCTCCAATCGATGCTCCTCGCGCTCTGCGCCGCGGCCGCCGTCGCCGACATCGTCCCCGAAGGCGGCAGTCCCGAGATTGTCGGCGGCACCGAAGTCCCCGTCGGCCAGTTCAAGTACATCACCGGTCTCCGCGGCGGGTCGGCCACGTCCGCCAGCCGCTGCGGCGGCACGCTCATCGCGCCCAAGTACGTGTTGACGGCGGCGCACTGCGTGAAGGGGTTCAAGATCGACTATGCGGCCGTGGGCACCCACTACACGTCGGGTGGTGCCGACGGCGAGCGCATCCGCGTCGTCAAGGCCATCGCGCACCCCAAGTGGACCAATGCCGACATGCACTACGACTTTGGCATCCTCGAGCTCGAGCGCGCGAGCAAGGAGACGCCCGTGACGCTCAGCTTTGACGACGACGCGTCCAACGCGCCGGGCGTCGTCGCCAAGGTCCGCGGCTGGGGCACGACGAGCTCCGGCGGCTCGCAGTCCAAGGTGCTGCTCGAGGTCGGCGTCAAGGTCTGGGCCAACGACCAGTGCGCCAAGAACCTCAACGGCATCCACGAGTCCATGATCTGCGCGGGCGGCGTCAAGGGCAAGGACTCGTGCCAGGGCGACTCGGGTGGCCCGCTCACGGCCGTCAAGAACGGCAAGGAAGTCCAGATCGGCGTCGTCAGCTGGGGCGAGGGCTGCGCGTTGGCCAACAAGCCCGGTGTCTACGCGCGCCTCTCGTCCGGCAAGGACTTTATCGCGCCGTACCTCACCAAGACGAGCCTTCGCTCGACGGCCAACCCGCAGGAGGGTTAGGTCACGGCTCCTCTGGACGTTGTGTAGTAGTGTGTACACATCTGTGTCTCGTTGAATACTAGCAAGTCATTCTTGGCTATCGCATTTGCTTTCCTCCATTGGCTGCTGGGATTTGACCCTCCATCGCCTGACTTTTGCAAAACTTTTAGGATGTAACACATGGAATAGAGGCAAGACCTCGAAGTCAAAGGATCCGACGTCTGCTGTTGCTTTTTGACGCCTGCAGAGCGCCCTCGTAGCTCCCATCCTCGTCTTTGATACCGCAGTGCGATGGGAGAATGCAGGTACTCTCATCAAAATTGGAGTGTAGGTTCCGTCGTCCATCGAAGCCAGCACAACCCTCGCAAATATGCGTCAAATAGTGTCACATTGTAATCAACACTATCTTACGTTTGAGCAATCTATACTAGAAGAATGAGTCTGGCCAGCGCGCCATTTCGTTCAAATAGTGTGCATTTGAATGGGTTTTTCTTTTTCACGCAGAAATGATGACTACGGACATCATGCCACCGTTTCCCGTTTCAGGCCTTGGCCGTCGACGACCATTGACCAATTTCACTACCCATGACGACCACTGTCTTCTCCGACGCCGGCTCCGAAACATCACCGTTGCTCGCAGCGGCGACGCGTCGCGCACGCGGGTTCAAGTACCTCCGCTACGCAACAGCGGGTCTTATTGTCGTCTTCCTCGCAGCCTACGTGGTCTTGTACTTTGTCATTTCGCCGATGGGGGCCGTCCGCATCTACAAGGACATGACCGTGCGAGGCTTGGCGTATGTTCATGTGGCGTCGGGGTCGCTCTGGCTCATTGCGTCGACGCTGCAACTGTTTCCGGGGTTTCGCACCGCCAGCTTTGCCCGACACCGCAGCGTCGGGTACGTGGCCATTGGTGCGTGTGGCGTCTCGTTTATCGCGGTCTGGGCCATGTTCTTTGTCGCTGGTCCGTCGCTTGAGGGGGGCCTTGGCATCCTCCTCTCGTCTGTCGTCTTTTCTCTCGTGTGGGTTCACTCGCTGTACCAAGGCGTCCGCGCCATTCAGCGCGGCCAAGTCGAGCTGCACCGCTACTACATGCTGCGCGCCTATGGTATTGCGGGTGCGATCATCGCGATGCGCCCGGGGCTCATCCTTCTACAAAGCTTCTTCTCGACGCAGACCGAGGACGACACACGATTGCGCCTTGGTATCGTCTCGTGGGCGGTGTGGGCCCTTGCTTACATGGCCATCGAAGCGTATGCAACGACGTCGGCGTCGTTTGCGTCGCGCTCACGCACGTCCTTCGAGCCGTGCACCGTCGTATCAAGGAAGCTTGTCTCGCCCGACATGGCGCTGCTTATTCTCGAGTCGCCCACGCACCATGTCCTCGCCCATGCTACGCCCGGTCACCACGCTGCCCTGCGCATCGCCGGCGCCACCCGGTCGTATACGCCTGTACCTCTTGGGCTTGTCGCCAAGGACATGCAGTGCCCACATCGTATCGGGTTGCTGGTCAAAAAAGTACCGAATGGCAAAGTAAGTACGTTGCTCCACGACTGCGCGATCGGCAGCTCCGTCGACGTCCTGTTGCCCGTTCCAAGCTGCATCACTTTGATGCCCGAGACACACGCAGAGCTTGTCTTGGTCGCGGGTGGCTCGGGCTTTTCAACGATGCTGTCGCTGCTGCAAAGTGCCATCGACGACCTGCGCTACAAGACCATTCACCTGTTTGTCTATACAACGGCGGGGACCCCGTTCAAGGACGAGCTGGACGCGCTGGCGTCACCGCTGCGCATCGTGACGCACTTTAGCAACGACCGCCCGACGGCATTCGACTTTCGCGCCGTGGATCCGAGTCGCGCCATCGTTGCCGTGTGCGGTCCCCTGGGTTTTATGGAGCTTGTGATGGCGAGCTTCCCGGCGACGCCACGCGTCAACGTGCACGCGTTTGGTCTTGACGACCGGTAATTTGGATAGGAACGACAATATTGTCGTCATTCATATCGTTTGATGATGTACATGTATTGCTTTTCAAGAAGAGAGTGTCACCACTTGTATGATGAGATCCTGCTCACCATGGCGCATGCCACAAGTCGCAATGACACGACGGTGTCAGTACCATACCGCAGAAGAGTGCTAACGCTTTGCACGACGCACACAAGGTCATGATGTCAATGTACAATGTATACAATTGTCTATGCACTCGTGCGCCCTTGCCGGGACAGGAGGTCGGTGTTTCCGTTGCCCACGATGTGGGCAACGACGAGGTTGCCGGCCATGTTGATCATCGTCGCCAGCGGGTCCATGATGCACTCGGCGACAAGGAGGACGCTGTACGCATACGGCGTTGGAATCCCCGAGAGCATGGCCCAGAAACTCACGACGATGGCGATGCCGCCCGAGCGAACGGGCGCCGCAGCGACAGACCCGAGCACGCCGCAGAGAAGAATCAGACACGTCTTGACAGGCGTCAACCGATCGTCAAGACCTGCATTGTAAAAGAGCCACACGAGCGAGAGCGTGATGTACATGGAGGCGCCGTTTCGGTTGAGCGTTGTGCCGACGCCGACGCCAAAGCGCGCTGCCTCTGGCGTGCGCACGTGCTTGTCGAGCGCGCGCATCGTCAACGGAAGCGATTGGCGCGACGAGCTGCAGGCGAGGCCGTACAGCAGTGCCTGGCGCACGTGCTGAAACCATCGCAGCGGGTGTGTGTATGACGCGAGCACGAGCACGGTAGGGAGCACGACGAGGCCATGGGTCGCGGTCGCAGCCAGGTAGGCCAGCACGAAATACCCGAGACGCGCAAAGTCCTCGTAGCCGTGCGTGCCCGAGAGAAGCGGCCCGACAATCAGCGGGATGAGCGCAACCGGCGTCGTCGTCACCACGTACGACATCATAATCTCAAAGATCGCGTTGAGCTCACGAAGCACCTTGACGATGCGGGTTTCACTGCCAGCATCGCCGTCGTCATCGTCGTACACGCCGAGCGCAATCCCCAGCACGATCGCAAAGACGACAGCCCCCGCAACGTCGCCGTGTAGCAGCGCCAGCGTCACGTTGCGGGGCACGAGTCGACGGACCATGCTCTGGATCTCGTCGCCGGCACTCGCGTACGTTGTCCAGCGCTTGACGGTGTTTCGGAGCTCGAACACGTCGTCGGCCATGCCAAACGATGCGAGTTTGTCATGGGTCGTGCACGCCAGCGTCCCGTTCTCGACCACCACAACGCTTGGCAACGTCGTCGTCGTCGTGTTGTTGCTCTCGAGACGCGGGCACAGAAGGCCCAGTGCCGCAGGGTGGAACGTGTATGGTGTGCCGCGAAACTTAGGACCGAGAAGAAGACCCCATGCGAGCGCCTGCGCTGATGCGAGCAGCGTCGTCAGGAGCGCAAGACCGACGATGCGCCGGCGAAATTGAAATATGCTCCGTGCGCGGACAACGTCGGCACATGAGAGCGCCACGTCAAGGACGACCTTGGGCACGACGATGCACGTCAGCGCGCGGAGAAAGAGACGCCCGATAGCGTACGTGTACTTGGCGTGGTTGAGGTAGACGACGCCAAAATCGGTGCTGTCGCCGGCGGCTCCCACGACACCAAAGACGACGCAGAGCGCGATGAGTGTGCCGAGTAAGGTTCCCGGTGCACCGAGGAACCAGTGGAGGTACCGCGACCTGGTCTCGTCGTTGGTACGGGCGTAATGTGAGTCCTGCAGCGCGCGCACGTCGTGGCCAATGACGTTGGGGTCGTCCATCTCGACCGTGCCATCGTGGCTCGGCGACTTGACGCCAGTATGCTCCATCACAGCTTGCGCCAAATGAGAGACTGCGACAGCGATGGTGTGGACACTTGTCTGAGCGCATGACCTAGATTCCATACGTATTGCAGTCAGAGAGCCGCGAATCTACGCAATGAGTAAGATATACAATTTTGTAGCCAGTGAGTCAAGTGCAAACATATGTTTTGAGTGGAATCCATACGAAACGATGCAAATCGTCCATATCTTGTGGCACGGAGCACGTGGCAGCACGAGAGCGCGCGTTTCAATCGTGCCACATCAAAGCGTACACGTGTATCCGCCTGTAGAACCTACCTTTTGATGCAAGTGCGACTCAAAGAAGGGTGACGCAAGAGCTCCATTACGAGAAAAGGCGATGCAGTAACATACTAGCTGACGACACTGCATTATACACTTGTGGTACCGGTACTACTACTTCGGCGTTTCCACGCGCAAGAAATGCGCGCTATCAACCATATCGGATGTCTAGGAGGTTCTTCTTCCTCGACGTCACCAGCGGTGGCATTTTGGTGCGGATGCGGACGCTGCATGTTGTCATCCGTGTCTTGGACTGTTGGCAGCTTCGCCAGCACCTTCTTCCTATCAAGCCTCGTAGGCGAGAAACAATAGCCAGCTCGTACTCGTAGTGATGGCTCAACGTGATGACATATATCCCACTCCTCTCTGGCGTGCCGGCAGCAACATGCCTTGTACACCAGCGTCCCGCATACTCGGACAACTCAGTACTCGTATGGTTGCGAGAGCGATCTGGTTTGGTTTGCAGAGAATGATTCCACGAACCACACGGAATGCCGAGGGCGGCTTGCCAACAGTAAATGCTAGCAGCTACCTCTCGGCGATCATGTGGCGGCGCTAGCGCACCAAAGAACGGCAGTTTGCACTTTTCATGGCAAAAAGGAGATTGTATAATAGTTGGTACTCGAGCGTTCAGCATACGTGGTGTCCGCATCGTCTTCCATCGCAACAATGCCATGGGCACTCATGCGATGGCGACGCAAGCTGACCTTGCACGCACGATGCACCAGAGGTTGCACTGAGGTGCACTGATCGCTGGCGACCCGTGACGTGGCACGTTGTGGCTCGTGCAGTGCATTCATTGGAATCCGAATGAAGCATGCCAAAGCACGCTGGTTGTGCATGATGATGGTTCTGCCTCGAGCGTCAGATGGTCTCGTTCCCAAACCAGATCTTATCGGTGTGCTTTTCCCTGTGGTTTTTCAATTTTACACACCGTGTACGCAATTTCCCACCTCATTGGTTGACACGAGAATTGGCGGCTATTTTTACATATGCACCGGCGCCATTTAACCGGTTGACACAATTCTTGCAATGAACCAAACGAGCGACGAGGAGGGCAGCGTGCCCCACTACATGCTCCCCAACTTCTCGTCGATATTGCCCGAGTATGCCAACGCCGAGGCCGAGCACATCAAGAGCGCCTTCTCGACGGGCAACTACCACTCGCTGCTCAAAATGCCAGCCCGGCTCGGCCCCAACAGCGTCAACATGGCGCGGCAAGAGGCCATGGACGAGAACCGCCACACGGCCGTCGCGCTCAAGGCTCCGCCCAAGATCGTGACGAAAAACGGCCTCTTCAACCAGTTTGAGTACACGCCATCGCGCTTCAACCTAAGCGACGAACTCCACCGCGCCGTAGACGACAACACTTTCATTTCGCATCATGACGGGAACGTCTAGGAACGCCTCGAGTCGGAGGCCAAGCGATTCCAGATTGGCGGCAAGGACTTTGTGTGCAGCAGCAACGCCAAGAAGCTCAAGCACGAAGATGGTTTTGAAGACAAGAATTTTGTGTATCCGCACATGGACGTCTACTACGACGACGCCCACGACATCGCGGTGCGCGAGCGCTGGATTGAGAAGAAGAAGATCTTGTACCACGACTTTGTACCGAGCGGCGCGGCCAAGCCGATTGGTGACACGCCGACCAAGAAGCTGCTGCCCGACATCATCAAGGAGCTCCACGAAGCGATTGCCAACGACTGGGAGGACTGCACGGTCGTCGTGGCGCCGACCGACGACGGCAACATCGCGGTACACCACTTTTCATTGCTCCCCACTTATAGGACAACGAGGCACATATTGTCGTAGATCCAGTTTGATCTGGACACGGTCAGTGGCCTCGAGCATGCGCTCACGGCGTACATGAACACCTTTGCGAATACCCACCGCCTCATGGCCAAGTTCCAGCTGCACAAGGTACGAAACGAAGCGCTCACGACTGTGCAAAGAAAGCAAGTAGGTCGTTGAGGACTGGAACGTCAAGCCCGGCGACAACGGCCTCTACTTTGTCGTGCGCCCGCCGTGGATACGCAACCCGCACGCGCCCATGTTTACGTCGCTTTCCATCGCCGCCGACGCCAAGGAATAAGATCTGCCTCGCAGCATCGTTCGTGCGATCGGTCGTTGCGGTCTCTCGTAAGCATAAACGTATTATATATACGTGTCCGAGCTCTGCTACCTGTATTTTCTGTGAATGAGAATGAGTGCAACCCACTAATCGGGTCGGCCGCGTCGTTGCATTGCATACCGCACAGCGTGCGGAAATCGCCCTTTGCCATGTGACGATGCGGTTGCCCTCGTCTTTCATATAGGGGCAAATTCTCGTACTAGTATGCATACACCTAGGTGAGACGTTGACGAGGCTGGCCCTCGGCGACATTGGAATCGAGGTGGAGCGGACGTTGAATCAAGAGCCCTTGCACGGACACAATCCGCCGCCTTTCCGAGCGTCGAGTACTATATGGCACTGCACTGTACCGTGCCTGCGTAGGACTTGCACGTGAGTACCAAGAAGCAAGGATAAAGCCCTTGCAAGACGACGATGGTTGCTGTGCAATTGCCATCAACAAACCATGCCTGTCTGGAATTTGCTTATCTATACTACCCAGATATTGTGCACAACCACTTGCGCCAAAGCGGTTGTCAGATGTGGCGCACAGCGAACGCGTGGCAAGGTACGAGTGGCGGTACAGTGCATTGTGGCGGCGACGGCGCTCTTGGAATCATCCAACGCACGCTTCGGCGGCCTTCGCATGCGGCATCGGTTGTTACACGAGCCTTTTACCGCACGCCGCACAGAAGCGACAGCGGGACTTATGCGTTGCTACTCAATACAGTGCAGGCAAGGAGCTCCGCACCAACCGTTCGGTGCTACGAGGCGACGTCGCCCACGGTACAACGTTAGCGCCTTCACAGCCCCGCGCACCAAACAGTACTTGCGAGCGCCTGTCCGACTTTGCTCTTGGTTCGGTTCGGGCTGATATCCGAATTTGAAGTCGAAATTCGGATTTTTGGGGCATAGAAACCGGTTTTCGACGTCCAATTCGGCATGGGTGCATTGAAGGATGCAAAAAAGCGCTCGCTCATTTCGCGACTGCAGTCAACGGGTACACTGTACGACATTGGCCGTTGACCAACGTGACTGCACCGACGACAGCACCTTCCTCTGCTGCTACTGCTCCAGTGTAGTACTACCCATGAGCCAGCGCAGCGAGGACAAGCACCTTCTCGGGTGGGCGCGTAGCCTCTGGAAGACAGGCAAGGCACGCAAGACAGGCGGCGTGACGCAAGACGCGGCCGTCAACTCGATGGCGCACCCGCTTCGCCGCTGCGAGCCGACGCCGACATCTGCCGCGCGCCACGTGACGGTGCGCACGGCCACGCGGCGGCCACTGAGCAACCTCACGAGCACCAGCGACGACCGTGGCGCTGCGAACCGGAGCACGTGGCCATGGGCGTTCCTCGACAA